ATTGATAAGTCTCTTTAATTTGTTCTATAAACATCAAATTACATCAATAAACAATACAATACAGTACAATAAGAAAAACTATAGCTTTATTCTATTAATCATTTTGAAATGGATTCATAAGACTTCGTAAAAATGGATCTTGTTTTAAACCTTGAATAAATTCTTCCTGTGATATACGTTGATCTTCATTGACATCAAGATTTTTCATGATTGTATCAGCACATTGCTCGTATGAATATTTATGTGAATTATCATCATTCATTCCTAATAATTGAAACATTGCACGTAAAATAAATAAAATTTCAGCACGATCAATCATACAATTATGATCTAAATCATAAACATTGAATGCATATCGAAGTTTTTGTTCCAATGGTGCTTCTGTTGTTGCTACATATGCAATAAGAAACTAAAAAAGAAAAAGTTCTTATAATCAGCATCTGGTTATTCTAATTCACAATGATATTATTATTCTGCTTGACTAATTTTCTATTAGAATGGATTATATTCTTATAGAAAATTAAATTTATTATCCGCTCATCGAGAGTTTATCATATTTCGACAAAAACAGAATTTTGTTTTTTTTTTGACAATCGATAGTAATAGTATTGGAGAGAGAGAAAAAAAACATACTTCAGAAAAACTTATACCATGATCACCATTTAAATCAAATGCACGAAAAACATTTTCGCTTAAACGTTTAACATTTTCTGTTGGTCGAAGTTCTTGATAGAATTTACAAAATTGTTCCATAGTCATTGTTGTTGAACCTGGATCACACTGATGAGTAAAACGTTCTTCCCATGCTAAAATATCATCACGTGTTAATTCGGTATATTTAGCAATTGATTCATAAACTTTATCATCAAGTTTACTTGTTGATGTTCCCATTTTTTTTTGTTTTCTTATCTAAAAATAGTGTTTATTTACTTAGCTAATATATATCTAAAATGTTCATAAAATAGAAATAACATTTTCACTTATAACATTGTTAATAATCGAATGGGAATAGTTTTTCCACTCGTAGGTTCTCTCTTTCTCAGGATAAATGATTTGCATACATGTTTTGTGCTGTGAGTGTTCGCGTTAGATGTTTTTTTTCCCCCTTGTTTCTTCTTCGGCATTTTTTTCCTTCTTCCTGTTGATGAGGAGAAAAAAAGCGTCGGTACTTCTCGAAAAATATCTCATCTCTCATTCTCTTTTTTTTTACCATGTTGATTAGTTGACAGAATAATATTG